TTCAGAATTTTTATTACTAAAACTTCATTTGAAAAAAGAAAATATTACTACATCCTTAAAGACTTTATAAAATACATAATCAAAAGAAATTATAGTTTTTATGCTTCAAAATGGTATCAGGGATATAAATGATTAGATCTAAACCTTGATTGATTTTTTTTCTCTTGCATATGTGGAAAGAAAAAATTGATTGTTGTTTTACATTATTTTGTCTTCTGGTTTATTAATTCTGGTTTGAAAAGTTTTAATATGAAAGAAATATGAACCAGTAAAATTCCCCCAAATAACTTTTTTGTCCATTTAAGTCAATTCTTTAAATCTCAGCCAAAAAAGAATTTTTTTTACAAAAAATACTAGATTTTGAAGTGACCCTATTTTACATTATTGTGTTGCACTCCTGACATCTGATAGTATTTTATTTAACATTGTTTTTAAAATTATAACGCACAATAACCCAATCTTAGTTTGTAAATCAATTCGTCGTTTTGATATTATTTATCATTTACGGTAAGTTTTTCATATTTAAAAGACTTCAAAACATGAGTTTTTGAAATGTGTAATACATACACATTGTATTTATTTGTGTGTTAAGTGATGAAAACTATTCTCTGAATTGATTGTAAAATGGCTGTAATTAGTTGATATATATAGACATATGTTTTGAACATCAAATAATATCAAACATTTTTTTCAATTTATTTTTGAGTAAAGATAGATGAAGATCATTGATAATTATAAAACAGTTTTGTTGCACTCCTGGCTGCAGTAAAATTAAAACCATAGAACACAAAAATTCATAAAGTGTTGGCAACATCAAGTGGTAACGAAAATGTGCAATATTTATAGTCCAATACTTCATGATTAAAACCCATGAAAGTAGTTCAATTTGGCTTCACATCTTGAATTATTCCCTATTTATGTCAAAAAACTAGGTAAAATGTGTATTTAGAAGCTTCACAGGACAAACACTGTGAGCAACTGAGGTCAACCAGAAACATTCTACTCATCACTTTTTTCTTTATATTTATTCATATTTGATCAAAAGTAATTCTAACATATTTATTCCACTCCTGACCTAGAGCATGGGAGTCTTTAAAGTAGAATTGTGAAGAAAATTACATCAGAACTTATTCTGTTGTTTCAGTGAAGTTAAAGTGGAATTACTTGAATTATATAACAATTTTTCAAAGTGTTTATTTTTTACATTCATAAAAAAATCAAAGATAAGATAAAAAAAAAACACATCTGAATTGATAAAATTGAAAAAAAGGAAGGATTTTAATAATAAAACTGTCAATATTTTAGTACTAAATTATTCAAATAGATCATTATTGATTAAAGAATATTTCTTAGGATGAATAGAAGTCTTTTCATCGTGTAACTTGAATCTTTAAAAAAATGTGTTGCACTCCTGACCATAGAAGTATAGATCTGTAACACAGACAGACCCTGTAATTATTAAATCTATATGGTAAAAATGTTCTTTGTATTTTCCAAAATCATAAACTGATAAAAGTTTTTTCATGCTAGGGAGCAAAACACCAAATGTTGCACTCCTGACATTATTGGGTATGCACAGATAATTGACTCTCATTAATGCTGCTTGTGATTTATATAACATTTTTAAGTTTTAAATTGTATACATGTATCAGTTATTGCTTTACATTTTAAAAATTCTTTTTTGACTTAATTGTCTTAATGGTCTTTTTAACATCGATGATTTTTTTGGCAACACTACATTTTTTCTGTTGCACTCCTGACATGGTATGACATTTTTTTTCAACATCAGCCATGACCACAACTTGATCAAACAAAAGTTGCTACAGTCTACATTTAAAGCTCAATACTTCGAATATTAACATTTAAATAATTCACACTTAAAACAAATTTAGCGTGAGTGTTGTCATAAAACAAATAGATTATTGTTCACTATGAAAATAAGATACTAGTACTGAAAATACGACTTTAAAAACACGTTTTTTATAAACCCTAAATTAAGAAAACATTTGTACAACACTCTAGCATTTACGTATTTTGCAGTGTTGCATAGTTCATGGTGATACGCACAAAGTTGAATAACTTCTACATTATTTTTCGATCTGTTATGTAAAATAATACTGGTCCAGTTTATGGGCGGCGGAAAGGGTAAAAAATACTATATAAAATAAAACAATTTTTTAAATAATTTTAATGAGCATAAAAACTTAACAAATAACATTAGATGCATAATCAACAGATCTTTTTACAAACCAAATATACATAAAAGCAAAAAATCAACGATCCAGTAAACTTGTAACAATCATAGATAGATGCAAAACGAACAGTTATCTTTGCAAAACGAACGATACATAAAACACGGCAAACCATCTGATACACAACCAATGATTATAAATGTTAAATTTTAGCTACAAATGCAATAGAATCCCGATCATGACAAGGAGCACTAGGTCGTTGTTACCGCTCGGCGGGGGATGTTCCACTCCTCCTTGGAACCTGATCCTACCTCTGATGTTTAAGAGGTCCGTGTTTGCTCTGCTCCTGATTTCTATTGTTTGAATGGACTTTTGAGTTTGAATACTGTTCGTTATCGCCATAATTCATACAATATGTTGGATTGTCCAAATTTATTTTTTATAAGTATTATAGTGATTATTTTTAAGCTATAAATGAATAACTTAAGAAACATGTAAATTTTTTCAAAGCATTATGCAATATCTTTAAAAGTATCCTGCCTAATTTCAATTACTTAATTTTTTCTTCTGTAATTTTTTTGTTACTAACCTAATTGTAATTAAAGGAGATATGCTTTTGCAAAAAGCTTTTATGGGCTATCCTTAGATAAAATTTATCAACTGTATCTTTATTGAATGATATAGTATTGAGATTATGTTTTCTATATCTGTTATGTTTTATATGTGTGTAATCATGGCATTCTGTGATATTTTTACCCGAATATAATGAAATGCAGTGCACATGTTATTTCCCAAATATATGAATATAAATCAAGATACATGTAAACGGTTTCTTACCAAATATATATTTACTGAAATCACTTTACATAAACGCTTGACAAAAAGATTTAAAACTTAATAAATGAACTCGTTTAAACAGACATTAGGTGGCGCTGCATGTCACAAAGAGGTATCGTCAACCTGACCTGACCGACCCGCAATGAAGTTAAACTGTAACCAAAAATTCTGGATCCGATTGGACCCCCTCTTAAAATTATAATAATAATTTATTATCATAGTGACTAAAATAATATACAAATTAATTTTAATTCATCTTTTACAGAACTTAAACAAGAGTTAATAATTACAGTTGTGGATCCGATGGGGGTCGGGGGTCCTTAAAGCTAACAAGACCATTCCCTACGCAATATCGATATTACATGTAGTTCTTGGAATTAACTGTTCCTGAAATTCAGATGCATGATAATTTTGTTGTTGATTTTTAAAAGTATTTTATTTCAAGGAGGCAGTTTTTCAGATCAATAGAATTTACCTATTTGAAATGCACAAAATCTGTTATATTTTGGTTCGTAGTATAAGCCGTTGTATCTGAAAAACAAACACCATTTTCTGTTACTTTAAATTGTTCCTATTATCTGCTACAACTACCTCGATCTTATTGCTATTCAATTGAAAAATCTGTGGATTGTTTTCATTAAGATTTTACATACACGAAATTTGAAGATAACGAACAGTAATCAAGCTCAAAAGTCCATTGAAACAATACAAAATGGGAACAGAGCAAACATGCAAATCTAAAAACATCAGAGGTGGGATTAGGTGCCTTGGCGGAGTAAACATCACCTGTCGACCTTGTAATTTTCGGGCAAGCGGAAAAATCCGTAGACATTCAGTGTGTAAATAATCGCCTAACAATTTGTATGAAAAACGTCAGTCAACATTCAACTTATCGACAGATCGTATTTGCTGATAAGGCCATTCTATCGACCATAGAATTAGTAAAATGTTGACTTTAAACGACACTGTTGATATCAATGTTTCATCAACTTATTTGTGAATAGATTGCCTCGTTTTAGAAATTGATTAGGTAGAGCATGCTCTTGCGTATCGAATCAACTGAGAGACAAACTCCATAAGCAGGTGATAATGGTATATTGCTACATAAGAAAGGGAAGTTGACGACAGAAGAGTTGAAGTCATCACGTGTATCACAAAGTTCTATTGTTAGACTACCATAAACGTCTTTTTCTAGCAAAATATCCATATATGAAACAGATGTAGCAGACTCTGTGGTATCTCTTATCTCGACATCAAAGGGATAAATATCGAATCATCGTACGAATGAAAATGAATTTTGTTAATTGATAAAACGTCTTCGATATATATATATATATATATATATATATATATATATATATATATATATATATATATATATATAATATATATAATATATATATATATATATATATATATATATATATATATATATATATAATGAAATATATGGAGATAACGAACAGTATTCAACCTCAAAAGTCCATTAAACATTACAAAATAGGTGCAGAGCAAACACGGACCTCCAAAACATCAGAGGTGGGATCAGGTGCCATGATGAGTGAGCATCCCCTGCCGACCGGTCACACCCGCCGTGTGCTCCTTGTCATGATCGGGAAATCACGGAAAAAATCCGTCGACAATTCAGTGTGTAAATAATGGCCTAACAATTAGTAGCATCTATTTGTGTATACAAAATAGTTGCCTTTATTTTACGAGAAAAGTATATTTGCAGGGACCTATATACTAGTATATAGGTCCCTTGTACGTTGGCTTTTAAGAGTCGGGCTTGGATGACACAGCAAGTGTTGTCTATATAAAGGGTCGGGTTTGTTCTTCACATTCCTTTCTGCTGAACCTTTCAAAGGTAAAGACGCATATCAAATGCTTGCAAAGAATACATCTAATTTTTGCTTTGTAATTTTAAAAAAATTGTATAATTTTCCATTTATGAATTGTTTTTCAACCATTTTAAAGCTTTTATTACTGTTGATGTTTATCAAATAAGGCGGATGATGTTGGATTCAAATTTTTACGAAGCAGACGACGCACACGCGGTTATGCCAAAAAAATAATTAATTTACCTTTGTATTGTTATTAAATGATCAAATATTGGTTATCAACATTAATTATTGTCTTTTTGTTTCATACTGCGTCGAAATCGGAAAATGCAAACCCAGAATAGGGGAACAACAATATGGAAACTCGGTCGGACCTTTTTTGGGGACACAGTGAGGATGGGCCCCAATATAAGTCAAAGAAAAGAATCGCAAATAGTCTGTGAACCAGTTGGAAAACCAGACATTGAATATATGTATCATCACAATCCAATACATCAGGTACATCCACCACCTTTGAAATACATAAATCAGTTGATTGTGTACATGTATCGTGATTAATCTTTGCCATTGTAGAATGAGACCAAAATATAAGCAATAGACTGCTTATACAGTGTATAGATATTGCTTCTAAAAAAAATCATTGCTTAAAGTGTTACCTTTCAAGCTTATGGTGTAGAATTTATTTCTTTTTTTTTTCTAAAGAAGGGGGGGGCTTACCAAAAAAAAAAAAAAATATTAAGTTAAGTTTCAAACAAAAGTACCAGAAAGTCAAGTTGAAAACAAAATATATTTAGATATAACTAACCAGTTAATCCTACAAAATTATGTCACAATAAAATAATCTTTCAAAAATACATTCAAATCATATTATAATTTTACCATAGAATTCTCTCAAAATAAGGACAAAAGACTTGCAGTTGCCTGGAATTGTTCAAAACTAAGGTCAAAATAATTCAATAGATTTTGCATAGATGCTATTGTTAGGTGCACATTGTACAGCAGCATTAACTTTGCCATATGTCCGGTTATATTGGTAGAATGTTCTGGACCTATTATATATTTATATTAGCTGGTTTCTATTTGTGAGAGGATTAAATTTAGTTTTTGTATAAATTCAGGTACTAAGTAATATAACCGATACAATGTTCTGTGTCATTGTAAAAGTAGAACTTGGTGAATCTTTCAAATCCAACTATTAGGCACTACTTACAACAGGGCTCAGACTAAACAATCTTTAGTATGTGATGTATTTAAATAAAAGGGAGAATGAAACCACCTATCTTGCCCAGAGAAGAGTATTGTTATATTTATTTAAATGCTCCAGGGCTTTCCTGGATTTCAGTGCTTTGTATTCATGAAATTTTAGACTAATGTTGTGAAAATTTAGGAGGCTCTGATATATAGGTAAGTCATAAGATCAGTTGCATATCATTAGTTATTACAGATTTACACAGCTTCCAACTCAATATATATGACTTGAAACAGGGGGATCATAATTGTGCGGGGTCTGGGAGCAGTAACCCTCTAGAAAGGGCCTTTCTCAAATCTCGTATCTTTAGGTGCTCTCGTTGAGGATTCTGTTTGCTAGCTATTAAATTGGAAAAAATGATCTTGTAATACAAAAAGTGGGGGGGGGGGGGGATTTATCATTGTTTAACCACATAATTTATCAATCTCATTGATTAAGTTTGAATGAAAAGGAAAGTGCAAAATATTTTTAGATAAACATCCATTTTCTATTACTGGAATTGGGATATCTTTGTTATGATCCTGTAGAGTGCAAATGAAATGTTGGAAATTGCAACATCTTGTACAAGAATGTTTTTGTGATCACTTATTTATGAATACATGTATACCTTAATGACCAATTATTAAATCAAAAAAGTCAATACAGTCAAACCTCATTGTCTTGAACTTATGGGACAAGAAATAACTTTCAATTGAGATATCGGATATTTGAGATGTCAAGGGTAAAATGCTCGAGGAGTAGGTGTCAATCTGGAGTAACCATGTAATTTAAGATTTCAGTCTTCCAAATACCAGTTAAAATTACAATTACTTCTGTAAAGCAATTAAAACTTATAGAACATTAATCCGATTGTATGTTGCAAAATGAATATATGGCCTTATTTTAATTATATTTAGTTGTCTTTAGACATCAGAAATGACCCAAGGAAAGACTTTGTCAAGTACATGTACCTTAAATTCTTAATAATGTAGCAATTATTTCTCATAAGTCCTAGAAGGATGCTTAAATTTTGTAATTTTATAGAGATAATGCTGATTGTTTGACTTCGGGCATTGGGCTTACATTTTAAGGTGTTTGGATCTGAAAACTCCTTGCAAGTTGCTTATATTTTGTAATTTTGTACATGTATATAATGCTGATTCTAAGACTTCAGGGTGTGCATTTGGTTTACATTTTTAATGAGTTTGGTTTTGTTTTTAATCAGAACACCAGAAAAATATAATTTCCTTTTTTGGATCAAGTCCATATTGATAGCAGTACTAGTTATATTCAGGCTCATTGCATATGAAAATATATCTCCAATTGGTGTCATTAATAATCAAACATCTATACCTAAAAGAATTTTATACTTTGCTATGCATTTTGTACTACACTGGAACAATATGGTCGTGCAGAGCTGTATAGAGTTCTGATGCGCATACATGTGTCACAGGCATTAATAATGTTTATTGAAAGACTCTTTATCAGAGGTAAAGGAATTAGCACATAAATAAAGATTAGTTGAGTATACTAGTATGACAAGCATCTGTAATAAAATTGCAGCCTAAAAATCACAGGTTCAAATTGGCACCGTCAAAGTGCCAGATCTCTTCATTGCAGCTAAACTGGTTATTGGTAAGTATAAATTTGAATAAACTTGTTACATGTATCAGGTAATGTATCTTTTTCTAGGAATATCATTAAGACCAGCATATGTTTTCAAAATATCATTATAACTGACAGTTCTACAACCATTGGTAACCATCACTAAGTAGTGTGATATATTCTTATATTTGTGTAATCCACATTTGTGTTGGGAATCTCCCAAGAAACTACATATTTGGGTATCAATAGGAATATAGTAAGATTCAACCTTGAAACTGGAGTTTTTGAAATGTAATTAAGGATTTCAAATAGCTCTGCTTAAATTTGCTAATTAGAGAGTGAATGTGTCACCTTCGGTGACATGAAACTTGGTTCATCAAATAGTAGCATATGCATTGGCTTTCCTAGCAATTTTCATGGATTGAGAATTATGCTATATGTAATGATAATGAATGAAACTCCCCCTATTTGGTTATAAATCTCCAGATATTTGTTTTGATGAATTACAACCTATATATAAAACTTGCCTTGGCTAATGAACAATTCAAAACAAAATTAACAAGCAATGGTAAACTTCATGTAAATGCATTGCAAGGTGGCATATACATTTGTGAGGCATGATAGTAGGGAAGTTTCTTTTTACAAGACCAAAGCTTTATTAGGCATTGAGGGAATAGGTGAGATACATGACATATATATATATGATATCATATCACAATATCAAGTCTCGTTTAAAGTCATCATTTCGTAAGTTCTATGGTCGATACAATGACCTTGTCAGCAAATAAAATCTATCACTAAGTCAAATACTGACTGATGTTTTTCATACTTCCTGGTAGTTGTTAGACCATTTATATTATTTACACACTGAATTATCAACAGATTTTTCTGTTATTTCCCTGTCATGATAAGGACACAGCAGGTGTGACCGGTCGGCAGAGGATGCTCACTCCTCCATGGCACCTGATCCCACCTCTATGTTTCAGAGGTTTCAGAGATGTTTGCTCTGCTCCACATATTTCATTGGCAAGTTTTGATTACTTAATGTGTTATAGCACCTTTCTTAATAGAGGGAAATTCAAAATTAATTCCAAGTCTGCTGAAGGATGAACACATCCATACATCAAGATGTGTGCAAGTACCCATTGAGGAGGGGGGTCTTGGGAAGTATTGGTCGTGGAACAGTTGACTTGTTTTGCTTCCCCCAATGTGTGGGGTGACTGCAATCTGTGCCAGCTTGCAGCCATGTGGCGTCTGCGCACACCAAGTCAACTGATAACTGAATATTTGTGTGAAACTTGTACTGAACTGTCACCTTGTTGATATGCTAATGCTAGTGTAAACTAAGCTAATAAGCTTACTCTTGGTGACAGTGATATATACTTTAGAGCTGTAATATATAGTACAAGTTTGAAATATGAAAAAATTTGATTTTTGAAGTTTGAGATGTTTGATCTATGAAGTTTGAGATATTTGATATATATTATGTACAAGATTTCATATGTGAAGTTGATATGATTGATATTTGAAGTTTGAGATATGACTTTGATTTTGAACAGTTTGTATGTTGATTTTGAACAGTTTGTATGTGTGCTGACCCTCCGCGGTAAACCCGGGACGGTTGGAATTTGAAACACACATGGTGTTTGAATTTGGTGGGATTGCCCAGTTGAAATGGCATCCCACAATGTTTGTATTTTCTTGTGCCACGGCCAATACTCGCCACAATAAATAAGTATAAATTCTATACTGAGTTTTGTGTCATTTTCTCTGTATAAATAATATGAAAAACGTCAGTCAGCATTTGACTCAATGATAAATTGTATTTGCTGACAAGGTCATTGTATCGACCGTAGAACTTACGAAATGATGTCTTTAAACGAGACTGCTGATATTCTTGTTTCATCAACTTGTTTGTCAGTAATTTACCTCGTTTTAGAAATTGTACATACGTAGAGCATGCTCTTGCGTACCGAATCAACTGAGAGATATAACCCCGTATGCAGGTGAAGAAGGTATATTGCTGCATAAGTAAGGGAAGTTGACGATTGAAAAGTTAAAGTCATCACGTTTATCATAAAGCTTGGTTGATAGATTACCATTAATGTCTTTTTCAAGTGAAATACCCAAATATGAAACAGATGTGTCAGTCTCTGTAGTATACTTTATCTCAAGCTCACCGGGATATATCGTATCGACATAAGAATGGAAATAACCATCGTTAATTGACAATACGTCAATAATAAATCCAATATAGATATGGTAATTCAAATTCATTTTGGTTGTTTGGAATATAAAAAAAACTCAAAACTAACATATGATTTTGAAGAATTTCTTCCTTAGATAGAGAACTGTGAGTATAAGTTGGATTACCACTTGTAGAATTAAATCCAAGTTCCTCTAAAATACATTTAATATAATGAGCCTCACAAACAAATAACAATGTTGTTACCTGCTTTGTCAGCAGGAACCAGTAAGTACTCATCATGTAATCTATCTAGTTCTTTTTTCACTTCTGGATCATTGAATACAGAAGGATAGATGGTTCTCATATTGCTCCTCAATCTTTTAATGCGCGATTTTAACATGCACCTGCTACATTTAATCCATTCTGACAAAGTGTCAAGGTCTTCTTTTTCATGTCTGGTCCATCGCCTGGCGTAATCCTCTACAGAATCCATAATATTTATGAAATTCCGACACCAGTTGAAGAATCGGGGTTCCCTATATTTAGGACCTTTTAAAATTAGTGATCTAAGGTCCTCATTATTAACTATATTTACGTCACCAGTAATAACGTGTCCAGCAGGACTATAGTTATAGAGTGAAGAAGAACATGTACAGGATGGAGGATTATGTTTCAGATATTCGATATGTTTTCTTGTAATTAAAAAGTTTGGAAGCAATAGTCAATGTATATTTGTAGGAAATACAAGGTGTAGTCTTTAACTTGAAATATGGTGGAATACAAGACTGGACCCTTTTGTGATTAAGAATATTACTTAAATTAACCGCGTCAATTCCTTTGTTGGCATATTGAAGTCTAAGGAAAAAAACGGACTGTATTAGCTGCTGCTTCTTCGGTAAAACGTGGGGGTTTAAAAAGCCTATGATTTGCAATTTTGATATGATATAACAATATATGATATAACGATTTTCCTTTCATGATTTTCTGAACAGTCAGTGTAGTATTTTGAAAGAATGTCAAATGTGCCATGTCATTACACTTGGGGATTGAATGATATGATGGCTCTTATTCTTTTATTCCTTTACAGCAGAAATCCAAGTTTGATATTGTGATATTTTTCCATTTGTTCGACGTATTCAATAAACAATTCATCAGAGCAAAGAGCTAGAGTTTTACCAGCTAGATCTTCATTGGAAAGATGTCCCTGGAAAACTTCTAGGAGAGAACTAGTTCTATACCTTTCAAGTACATAGTATGTTGTTCTTTTCATGTACTCACACCTATCTATAACTTGCAGCCATTCATCCTGATTTAATTTAGATGCTTCAATAATTGTAACTTTCATATATTTCATAATTCTATACCATAGTTTTATCCAACAAAGTGCAAATGTAGCAGTCAGTTCTTCATGTGAGGAGCATTTTGTTTTAAATTCTGGCCAAGCGAAACATGGAACTTCTAAGATATAACCCCAGGTGTTCATGCTCCTGGCAAAAAATGTCGGCATTTTTATGTCAAAGAGTGAATTAGCTAAGTAGTCTAAAATATCATGTATACAAGGAGCGTGTAGTTTAGGATGTAAACATTTACTATCCCCATACACATGAAATAAGAAAGCTGATTTTAGAACGTAGGAAGAGACATTCATACACTTTCCTGTTAAATCGTTTTCTCCTATTAAAAGGGATTTTAGAATTTTATAAGATTCCTTATGATGCTCATCCATATTCTTCATCAGTTCAAGTTCCATTGCCGCAAATGATATAAACAAACATGGTGGCTCTGGAAAATGGTCAACATGACACGATTTGGTTACAATATGACAACCATGTTGGAGAAGCAATTCTTTAAATTCAGATGGAAAGTCCGGGAAAGAGGCAACCTTTTCTGGATCCGGATGTTTGATTGCCAACATTAAATCAACGCCTATAACCGTATTTTCTATGGGGACAACCGGATTTTTTACTTTATAATCTGATTCCGGAATATGAACATTTTTCACATAATTGAAATATAATTTTTGTTTTAAATCCACAGGTTGTCTGGTGAATATTTTTCCTGAATGTTTTTCTACACCCAGTTTTGTCGCCTCCAGATTGGTGGAAATTTTTTTCCAGAAATCCAAAACAAATGATTGCCTGTTTCCAAAATAATTTTCATACAGATGACTTGTGGTGTGACAGTGGAGCAAATAAGTTTGAAAAATATCGAGGGCATTTGTGGACTTTAGTTGAACTTTCGAGTACCACTGACTGCATCCGCTTTGTAGAATTATTGCATCTGGAGTTGAAAGTGCTTTCAAAACCACCATAAAGTCGAATTCATTGACAGAGCCTATTTTTGTTCCTTCGAAAAAGCTGCCGACTGGTAATATTTTGGAGAATTGAAATTCTGGACTTTTTTCACATACAGCATGTAATATTTTCTCAACCAGTTCATGAACTCCCGTTTCGATGTCCTTTTTTTCGTCACCCTTTTCTTTAACGATGCAGCGACTACGAAAGACGTACCGTAAGAACGCTCTTTGCAGAAAAATCTTATCTTTTGATTCTAAAATAAATCGTAGAGTTTGCAACTTTCTTTGCATGATAATGAAAACACAAATCTGTGAAGCATACATATCTTACTTGAATATTTAAAGTTCTACTAGTGAGGTATTTAAAAAATTATAGAAATTGTTTCCAGTTTGAAAGAAATATTTGGAGACGAATTCTTTTCTAAGGTTCTTGTTACATTCCAGTGGCTTTGAATACACTTGTGAGGGAAATGTCGACAGTTTTATATACGATATGATATCAACTGCACATTTGAAAAGTGTATGTGAAAAAATTACCAGAAAGGCTACTTAGTGTACCTGAAACATACTGATAATATCTTCACATTCTTTGTGTAGTGAAACGATCAATATGAAATGAAATTGAGTACTGATCTGACAAGCAAAAAAACAAAACAAAACAAAAACAAAAAAAAAACTAAACTGACCAAAAGTGGGGAGGGAGGGGGGGGGGGAACTTCCCATTATTATCTGAAAAGCAAAAAAAGCTAATTTACTATCCAAATCCTCCTGGAATTTGCCAGTGTTCAACCTTACAACAACAAAAAGTGGGGACCAACCAACATCTAATGGAAAATTTACTATAGCAAAATATTATACTCAGAAAAAAAACCCGTGTTCTACGGGCCTGGTATGTAGAAAACATGACGATGGACATTTCTAATAAACATACAATACATACCCATTCTCTGCCAAATTTCTATATTAATATCATATTACTTCCTCTTTCGTTTTATATATGACACTGTATGATATTTCCACTTGAGACCAAAAGATTTGATGAAACTTGTACCTTCTTCGAATTATTAAGATAATCTTATTTATAAATATTCCTTTTAATTCCATTGCAAACCGGAAAACTTTTTTTAATTTGTGTTTTTACAGATATACATCTTTACATTTATGCGATATTCACTCACCCTGACCACCCACAGCCATTATTCTTACTCCTCATGATGTAGTCAAAAATCATAAATAATAGTCTGTCACTTGTTTTTAATACACTTATACACGTATTTTCCAAATAAACAGTGTTTTTGAGACATTTAGAAGATGAAAAAAATTAATGAAAAATTAAATTCAAACTGTCTAATATTAATGTGCGAAAATTTTTTTTACTGTATAACCGAAAATTATGAAAATTTGTCAGAGGGATATCTTGGTTACTGTGCATTAAAATCAGTGTTCAGAACTACTCAACCGTGAAATGCATGACGTCACATAAGGAAAGTGGTAAAATGCCGAAAACACGTGCATATCGATGACGACATGTTTTTCAACACATCTCGTAGTACCATTTGCTGCACTTCAGTTATACACATCGTTTTTCGATATTTACAGTCGATTTGCATTTCTTGATATCAAGGTACAGTTGACGAAGTACCATAGGGACTGGCTATTGCATTGCCTAAGTAAAGACAAAGGCAACGACAGGTTTCTGTGCAGTTTGTTGTGAATTTTTCCACAATAGAACGTCTTACCCGTCCTCAGAAACTGCTATTATATGGCACGCCGATTGCTTCAAAATTATTATCTGCACAACGATCACGATTTTATACACTAGCTTGATGAAAAATATACACGAGTAAAAAAAAAATGCACATAGTTTGAAAGATTTTAACACGACCATAAGGAAAAATACACGAATCCGAAATTTTTTACACGATTAATGCACAGGTGCTTGAGGACAGGACCCCCCCCCCCCCCGATACAGACCCCCGGGCTTGTTCGACTTTTTTCTCATAAATTATATATGGCTGACACATCTGTGATATAATCTCTATATCGTCAATTCGGAAAATTGACTTAAACAAACATTTTATAAAAAATTACTTTCCTATATATAAAAAACAACAAGGTTGCCAACTTCGTCAAAGCTTATTCAACGGAAGTAATGAGGAGAGGACTATTACCCATTTCCTCCATATAACCAAATATGAGTACAAGGTATAAACACTGGACACATTCTTGTTTTTTTTGTACGAATTTTTAATAAAAGGAATATTTCTTCTAACATTTTCTAGATTTTACGCGAAATATCTAGAGAAAAGAAGGTATTTACATAAATTGCATTTTTAAAAGGGGCATAACTCTCAAAACGAAACCTGCAAATCAGGTAGTTGAAAAATAATTAGAAACAATTCATTTACATTAGTGGTTTAGAATTCTATGCTTCCAATACATTTGAAATATATTTTTAAAGTGTATCTCAACCAAATTTCTTCAAATGCTTATTTCAAAACAGTGTTTCAGACTTTCTGCAGAACTGCGTATTTGGGTAGAAAGACGTATCCTCATCACTTCCGTTGAATAAGCTTTGATCATTTTAAAAACGCTAACGTCCTTGTGGAAAATTGGCCGAAACGACTGTTTAAGTGCCTAAACTTTTATGAGAGTCGGTGGTTAATGAAAAGAATATTTAACCTACGACATGAGTTGTTGATTTTAGGGCTATGCATAGATTTATGAGACAATTCAACAAAAATTCCTCGGCAGTGCCTCTCGGTTTGCAGACGAAGTTGGCAACCTTGTTGTTTTTTATATATAGGGTAGGAAAGTAATTTTTTATAAAATGTTTGTTTAAGCCAATTTTCGAATTGACGATATAGAGATTATATCACAGATGTGTCAGCCATATATAATTTATGAGAAAAAAGTCGAACAAGCCCGGGGGTCTGAAATGGGGGGGGGGGCTGTCCTCAAGCACCTGTGGATTAATGGGTTTAAAATGCACACATTAATACAGCAGGCTATCATAATCGTTACATTCACCCCAAAACTGAAGGATATCGATAGCGCGATTTTGGTTTGTGAGCTCGTCAACTTTACGCAAGTGTTCCTTTAAAGGTCATATGAAACAATGTCCAGAGCATTTTGGGTTATATACGGAAATGAGTTCATCTGAGCTACTTTAATAAGCCTGAAATTACATTTTGGATTTTTTATGCAAGTTAGCGGCAGCAGAGTCGATCAAAATTACTTCACTGCAAAAATGAACTTCAACTAGCGCGGCTTATCTCCCTTTGCTTATGACGTCAGTAAGACCCAGTCGCTACATTCAGTACTGTAGTTAACATTTATACTACCGATCATGTCTTTTGCAGCGTAAATTTTCAGAAAAATCATTAGTTGGGCTAAAACGTCGCATAAATATACGATGTTCAAACAAGATAGTATTTGTCTTTTAACATCCTACTGCATATTTGCAAGATTTTAGTATGTTTTCTTTATCTGTGTAATTTATTGTCGTCCTTCGAGACTTCAATCGACACACAGAGAGAGAGATGATACGACAAAGAGAGGGGGTCTGTACTCGAGTAAGTGAATATAGACGCTGTCAAATAATTTACAATTGAATAAAATTCTTACATAAGAATACTGATGATTTGTTTTCTGATTAAAATTTTTAAGCCATGATCAGATGATGCTATCTAGGTACTCGGTAGCACGCGCATTTATAAAGCTGAATTCGATTGACCGCACTGTGTGAAAGTGAAACTAAACCTGCATATAAATGATTTCATTTATTTATGGAAATGAAATGATTCTATTGCTTTCTCGCTTTCCCCCTTTCTCAATCACTTTTCCTTTTCTTTGGTTTTCCCTCTCTCTCTCTCTCTCTCTCTCTCTCTCTCTCTCTCTCTCTCTCTCTCTCTGTGTATTTTTTTCTTACCAAAAAGTCGGTACATATACGCATAACACTGTAACTATATTATCGTAATAATTTTAAAAACTCAGACATTAAACGTAATTCTATCTATGTAATCCTACTTTTCTGTATGTATATATTTACAGACCGAATTGTTTAAATTTGTATCAGTTTATTTTAACAAAGATTATTATATAGTCTGATTTAAAAAAAAATGTTTAACTGTAAAAATATTGATTTTGAAAATTAATTGTTCAGGTTCAGTCTTGCAAATAATGGGGGCATGGATTTTTTTTTTAACTGATCAATTTATGCACGAAGTGTATCAGTATTTTCAAACTGCAATTGCTCAGGCCATATTTAAAATAATGTTTGCTTGCCCTCTCCAGAAATTGGGTCGGTATGTAGGTGGGAAAATCTTTTTTTCTCAGAAAATTTCAGAATATATGTTGACGAATGGGAAAAATCAGGAATAAAACGAGAAAAAAAAAATCGTAATTCCTGGAGGTTGAAAAAAGTTTTGAGTCGGGCCATTTTGAGCCAGTCGGTCGGGAGAGGGCAACCAAACAATTTTTTAAAGTTGGCCTCAGCCAAACTGTAAGAAGTATCAGCACCGTAACATTACAGTGCATGTATATACATGTACATTCTCGTAATGCAGGTA